TAAAAGAAATATACCCTATATATATATATATATATATATATATATTAATTGAGATGCCTATGAACAACGGTTCAGATGGTACTTTTGTAAAAACATCAATTATTATATTAATTATATGTGTGTGTGTGTAGAGAGAGAGATGGATTCACGTGAGACCAGCTTGTTTTCGTGAGACACGTGAGACAACGTTTTTACACTTGAAACTTCAGAGCAAAATATTGTGAAGGTAAAAAAAACCCAAACCTTCACAACAAAAACATTGTGAAGTCACAGTGTTTTGTTGTGAAGTTTCAAGTGTAAGAATGTTGTCTCACGAAAACAGTCTTGTCTCACATGATTCCAAGTCTATATACATATATACATACAAAGTTTATGTAATGACTACGGATACGTATTCGATGAAATTACGTGAACAGATATTAGCAATCAAAAGAAAGTAGCCGAAGAGGTACTTAAACACCAAAATTTGGAAGTCGTGGCCAAGGTTTACAGTTTTCAAGATGTCGCCCACGCAACCGAAAACTTCAACCCCGATTTGCTCGTGGGCAAAGGCGGCTTCGGGAGGGTCTACAAGGGTCATATCGGAAGCAAAAACCAAGTATTGCATCTTTCTTATGCTTTATCGTTATCGTTAGATAAGGCATTCCAATCTTTTTGGAAGCCCTGTTACACATATACCAAAACTACAGGTCGACTAGACTTTGTAGGGTTAGCTCAACTGACAATAAGACTTGGGTCTTAGAGGATCTTTCTCAAAGGTCACTGGTAGAGATTTTCCTGGCTGTCTCCGGGGTCCCTTGGGATTTTCCTGGTTGTTCTCCATGGCCCGAGAAAAAAGATTGATTGGACGAGTAACAGATAAAACAACATATAAAAGTTTATACCGTATATTACGTGACGTTGGGGTTTGTAGTTTCACATTCCCGACTCATGTGGCTCAGGTTGTAGCCGTGAAGCAACTCGACATGATCGGAGTACAAGGGAACCGTGAATTTTTAGCAGAGGTTCTAACACTGAGTCGTGTTCACCACCCGAACCTAGTGAATCTTGTCGGATATTGTGCGCACGGGCATCAAAGGTTATTGGTCTACGAATACATGATGAATGGTTCACTAGAAGAACATCTTTTCGGTAATATTGCTTTCAACTGGCACGTAGATACAAAACGATAAACGTTTTAGATAATTCAGTGCTACAAGGAGAAAAGACTTGAAAAACGGGTCTTGTTTTTCAGGTATTTTCTCCTGGTTAACATATCATTGACTTTGAATTCGTCCTTTTTTTGCTTTTAAAGATTTGGATGAGAACACGGCTCCCCTCGATTGGCATACGAGGATGAAGATAGCTAAAGGAGTGGCAAAAGGGCTCGAGTACTTGCACGACGTGGCCGACCCTCCGGTCATTTATCGGGATCTAAAATCGTCCAACGTGTTACTTGACGGTGACATGAATCCTAAGCTCTCGGACTTTGGGCTAAATAAGTTTGCCCCGAGAGAAGGAGAGGATCATATGTCGGCGAGAGTGATGGGGACTTACGGCTATTGTTCACCCGAGTATGCGATGACGGGAGAATTGACGACTAAATCTGATGTTTATAGCTTCGGGGTCGTGTTTCTAGAATTAATCTCGGGAAGGAGAGTCATCGATGACACAAGACCAACCGAAGAAGAGAACCTCGTTATATGGGTAAGTTTTTAAGATAGATCATGGTCTCCCATGAAAAAACCGACACATATACGATATTTGGGGCCCACAAATCATAGTGGGCCCATTTTGTGTATGTGTCAGTTTTAATCTTTATATACAACTAGAAGATGAGCAAAACGTCATTATATAGGTAAGTTTTTAATACTATTCACAGTATCCCTTGAAAAAACCGACACGTATATGACATGTAGGGCCCACCATTTGTGGGCCCATTTCGTGTATGTGTCGGTCTTTCTGCTTATATACATCTATAAGATGATTTGTATGTATTATCTATGTTATAGGCAAAACCATTGTTTAAAGACCCGAGCAAGTTTCCGATGGTGGCTGATCCGTTGCTAAACGATAATTATCCGATAAAGAGTTTACATCAAGCGGTCGCGATTGCCGCAATGTGTCTCCAAGATGAAGCGAGCACGAGGCCATACATGAGTGATGTCGTTGTGGCCCTCGATTACCTAGCCATGGTTCAAGATCATGACGTACCGAGTGAAGTTGATGGATAGTTATTTGGAGTCGAATTGATTGAAACCGAAATAAAATGTACAACTGTTAATGCATAATATATAAGTCAATTGTAACATAATTTATCAAAGATCAAACATATGAAACAAAAGATAACATGTAATATTCACATGTGAATATTTGCAAAAACATAGATTTTGAAACCAAAAAAGAACACCAATATATTGTCGACTTGTACGGTACAACATACGTACCGGCTTTCGAATACTAAGATTAAACCTCGAAGTGGTCAATGTCGTCTTTAAGGTTTCGGTACCCGAAGCTAGGAATCTTGCTCAATCTATGGTGGTTATGATGGCGGCTCTCAGCGACATCCACCACGGTGCACATTCTTGGCAAAAACCTACCACTACTACCACCACCACCACCCTTTCTCTTCGCACGCCGCCACGTGACGTTTAAGAACCCGAAACTAGGCCAAAAATTTGAACCACCCCCATCGCCACCGTGCTTCTTATCGGGATGAAAAAAGTTTCTTCTCGAACAATTGTCATGATCACCACGACCCAACTCAAGTTTCTTGAAATACTCTATCTCTTTCATCACAAGGTTTCCCACTGTACCACGTGCACCTATCTCGATCGGGACCGGATCACGACCGCCCATCTTTTCCGGCAAGATGGCGGCGGCGGCGGTGGCGGCAGAGATGGTGGCCATGGTGGGTTTTTAGGTGGTTATCCAATGTAGGGAAAAAAAGATTGCTTTTGTGGTAATGCACTTGTTTTGGTTTGTACATAAAGATTCCATTTCTCTCAAAGTGGTCATTGCCTTTGATAAAGTGAACAATGAGATGGTTTTTCCCTTTTGGCATAAATTAGGCTTTTTGTAAGGAGATGTGATCATGACCCTACTCATGCCCATCTTCCATTTCTTTAACTTTCAACAACCTTTTTATAAAAAAAAAAAAAAAAAAAAAAAACACAGGTGTTTGGAATGATTAAGTCTTTGGACATTTCAAAACCTATTTAGATAACTTCTTAGACTTTCTAAAACATGTTATATACATTCTTATAACCTACAAAACTGGTTAATGCAGTACGATAATGAAAAAAGTCCGGAAAAAAAAGCCAATGGACTCATTTGTTCCAAAAAATTGTTTAAAGACTTATTGTTTTTGGCTGAAATCGGAAGTTTTTACGAAAACAGTTTTAAATAAAAGATCAGCGTGCATATTACTCTCGGACACTACTTAAAAATTATGTATTAATATTTTACTATATAAAGTTAGAGGTTTTTACAGAAACAATTTTTTATTTTTTAACGTAGATAAAACATGTGCATACATATTACTCCATGTCCCTCCCTGACATTGATTATGTCTAGGATTTATTATGTTTGTTAGAGGTTGTTTGTTTACCTTTTAATAGTTCTATTAAGAGGCAGCTTCTGAATCGTTAAGAGGTGAATCTTGTTTGACAAAAAAAAATTTTTGTCTCTTAAGGGTCATAAAACCCCTATAAATGATTTTGTATCTTGTGTCTCCCTTTAACCATTCACCACCCTAATTTCATTCTGAATAATTACCAAAGAATTATATTTCATTTTGCACTATTTATAAGAACATTTTAATCATTCTGCACCAAACCATTCAACAACTGTCAAACAGCCCCTTAGTTTGGTTTTTACTGAATCTGTTTGTAGAAGTAATCTAAAATATTATTTATCATGTCACATACTTTAAAACATGAATTTTTTTTTTAATACAATTATTAGAGAAACTATTGTTAAATAATTAATTAATTTAATAATTAAATAAATGAGATAATTAAAGGGGTAATTTAGGGTTTACTAAAAGAGGTAATAATGTGATAAAATCATCATGAAACCACTTGAGTACTCTTCAACCATAACAAATCAATGGGTCTTTTAGTTCTTTTTTCTCTTTTATCATAAGTTGACTTTGTCCATTTTAATAAATAAATAAAAATACTTGACATGTCATCATTATTTGGACAAACAGTTGATTACTAGCAACCTCAACTGGTCCAACATGAACCCACCTCCAAATATATCAATGTGAGGGGCTGTTTTTTTTTTTTTTTTTGCTCACTCAGCGACTAAGGCTAATGAGAGGACCCAAGATTGAACACTGGACCTATCTTGTACTTGGACGAACTAACCCGCCCCCTTTGTCAATTGGGTTGCACGTTAGAGACGTTATCATTACTAGTTGTGTATTACAGCATCTGTGACAGATTATCTAAAATAGATTTTGAGCATTTATTTTTGTTCTACAATATAGATAAAGTAGGAGAGAGATGGGTTGTTTGTTTACCTTTTAATTGTTCCATTAAGAAGCAGATTCTGAATCGTTAATAAGTGAATCTTGTTTGGCAAAAAAAAATATGTCTTTTAATGGTTCTAAAACCCTCTGAATGATTTTGTATCATGGGTCGACCTTAACCATTCAGCGCCCAAAATTTCATTATAAACAATTATATTTCATTTTGCATTATATCAAGAGAGTCTATTAATCATTTTACACCAAACCATTCAACAACTGTCAAACAACCCTAAAGTGTTAAATTCTCCAAATATGGATTACGCTCTAAAAATAATTACAATGAGATAAATATTATTTTTTAAATAGATGAAATATTTTAATAATATAATCAATATTATAATCTATAAAATAGAGAAGCTCTTGAATATAAATGTAATTACCATTGAGATTTAAAAGAAAATTTTAATATATCTATCGTTATAAAAAAAATTAATCATATTTTCTTTTTAAAAAAGAAAAAAAATTAATATATTTCCGAGTCTGACACATTATATACCGATTTAGGACCAACGATCCTAAACCGGTCATCTCTGGTCCAGCTCAACCTAATAACGTCATGGTCTGGTCTGGTCTGGACCCCTGAAAGATCTAGTCTTTCTTGCCCGGTCCAGCTCAACCTAATAACGTCATGGTCTGGTCTGGTCTGGACCCCTGAAAGATCTAGTCTTTCTTGCCCGGTCCAGCTCAACCTAATAACGTCATGGTCTGGTCCGGACTCCTGAAAGATCGGGTCTTTTTGCCCATCTCTCGACACGTCATCAAAACCGAGCATAACGAAAACAAGAAGTACAATTTATTATGCATCAAGTACAACTATCTTAAAATAAACACACCCTAGAAGGGTGTCTACACCACAAATACAAGTTTACATATAACTCACATTTCCAACATATAACCCTCAAAATTTGAATCAATTTCATGTTTTATTCCTCTATTTCATCTTATATGTTTTATATACTCTCTATAGTCTATAGTCCTGACCCGACCCGACCCGAACACAGGGTCGGGTCGTCACGTAACTAGTCTCGGATATCGTCTCTCTCTATTATTTCGTTTTCCAACCTTCTTTTCGGATATTTATATGTATTTTCTTTAATATTATACACGGTTACGGTACACGAGGTAAGTGACAAGAATACCTTATCGTTCGATGAGAGCCAAGTGCTTGTTGTAACGCAACATTAACTCGAGCTCCTCCCATAAATATCGAATCGTAGAGGCGACAGATGAATCTGGAGAGCTCCTCTTCATCGTCGTCCCAAACGAGCATTCCTTTATCCGTACCCGTGGTGGTGCCCTTATCGGTCTCGCTGTCTTCCCAATCGCTGGCTGGGCTGGTGGGCTCGGAAGATTCTTCATCGGCTTCGTCTACGCCGATTACAAACTTGCTGTTCTCGGTATCGTTGAACTCGGTGGACCCGTGGAATGTGGTCAACTGCATTTCTTGGGGTTCAGATGATGGGCATATGACAGCTTTAGCACCGGAGTCTAGGAAGGCCTTTATTAGAGCGGGTGAAGGACCGTATAAACATGTGCATATTATGATCCTATCCCTCCAAGCACCAACCTGCAGAATTTCAACGAGATGAACATGTAATTATGAATTTATGGATCATGATTACTTGACGTGAAAGATCTACTGTACTATTTGGGATAGAGGTCAGTTATGCATACATCTTACCCACCCTAGAACACCCCCCACCCCGCCGACCCCAGGTCGGATATAATGTGTCTATATGGAGGTGGGGTCTGGGAGAGGTAAGCTGTACGCAGACCTGACTTTTACAACGAACAGTAGATTGGTTGTTTTCATGCCGGCTTGTGAAAAGCGTGTGAAAGAGAGGAATGTGTAGGATAAGTTCTAAATGTTGGTTACGGGTAAGATGTAATATACAAATATAAGCATGTGTAAGAAAAACATAACCAAGGTAAGGGTGCGTTCAATACAGTGAACAAGACATAACATAACAGGGATCGTTGTTCCATGTTTGGTAAGACTTTTAATTGGAACAAAGTGGAACATGCGTGTTCCACCCCCACCCCATGGAACAAGCTACAAGAAAGTGGAACAGACTTATATTTTATCAATATCACCTCATTTTAACACTTAATTATATTTTAAAACATCAAATACGCCTTCCTCTTTACGTTTTATTCAATTTTTAAATTTTATTTTTTGAATTTTATGTTTTTTAAACTTTCACTTTACTGTCCTCAAAATATTATTTTTGTACGGTTACTATATTTTGATTAATATATATAATTTGTTAAATATAAAATAATATAGAAAAGGTATAAAATAAAAACTGAAAACTACATACACTTTTTATTTTGGTGTTACTTTAATCGTCTTGACAAAAGTTCTAACGATATATTTTGTTATATAAAATATTTATTTTATTATAATTTATTAAATTACATAATTAATCAAAATATATAAACAACTCATTAGGGGTAAAATGGTCATTTTATTTGTACTGTCCTGTCCAATTCTGTCTTCCCAAGCCTGAACAAATGTTTTGTCTTGTTCTGTCCTGTTCAATCTTGTCTAAATACCAAACGCATTCTTAAGGAGTTGCACATGGTAACTTAACTAACAACTCACTAACCCTATCCCCCACCCATTACCTCTCCGACTCCCTTCCTCCCACCTATGCTATCTATTTATCACCGCCCCTCATCTGCTACCCTGATCCTGTACCTCCAGAAACTCCTATCAGAGATCATGTCCTCGAAAACGCCTAAAGTCGCCATGTCCAACATCAGTTGATCATCCCACATCCTCCTCGCCCTCTCATGTCTAACCTGTCGCACACTCTAACCTCCTCACGGGAGCTGCCATAGCACAAAGTAATCCTCCAACACAAGACAACTAAGGTTCTGTTTATTAGTAGCTTAATGAGTTTAATGGGACTCATAGCTTATTCGGTCAGCTATACATGATTGTTTGGTAGTGGATTAATGACATAAAAAGTGGCTTATTCAGTATGCTTCTAGAGGGGGGGAGCTTAATGCAGAAAGCCAAGTTTTCTCCAAACCTGCCCCTCCGTTCCATCTATGAAAAAGTCCTCTCAAACAAAAACCTTCCCAATATATAGAAAGATTAATCCACACAAACAGCTTTATCTATACAGGACTTAATGAAAAATAAACCAAACAGCCCCTTAAGCTCAAAATAAAGTCTTGGTTCAAAATTCAGCCAAACAGAAACAACCTTTTTCCTTCTAGCATCAGATTGGCAGCTACAATGTGATCATAGAAGTTGATTATGAAGGGGATTGTTACTCTTAAATCCATAATGTATATAACAATTCAGGTAAATCAACTATTTCCATTCAAAAAAGAAGTTCCGGGGTTGCTTCTGAATGGATTATTTTGTAAGAATTGGATCTATTAAGCCAATTTTGATCTTATTTACACAAATTATGCATTCTGAAGTTCTTCTATATAAGCGTTACTTTATTATTTGCTAGGTCAAAACAGAAAAAGCTATCTCAAATGATATTGGTAGAATCCAGAATCTAATGAAGAGCATACCAATATTGACTGACAACCTGAGTAAGGAGCTGTTTACCAACACAAACGGGCTAGGAGCTAACCGAGTAAGAGGTTGTTTACTAAACATTTACTGGGCAAGTGTTTACGGGCAAAAGTCACGACTCGCTTACCTTATTGGCTAACATCTCGGGCATCAAAATGGATTGTTGGTAAACGTTTTTTACCCGGTAAGCGCTTACTGAGTCTGGGTACGCGCTGACTGAAAATGGTTGTTTACCAAGTATTTGGGTAAGTGGCTAAGCGCTGTATAAAGCACTGACCGAGTCACAGAACAACCCAGTAACCATCCCCCAAGTCGAGAAAAGCAATTGTTCGACTTGCTGATATCTTGTAATCTTATTACCCTAGATAGCAAAAATAAAACAAATTACAAATCAATATGATATCTGAAAACATACCATCCAACGAACATCTTCAGGAGTTAAGTGCATAGAAGGGACTGTCCTGCGGAACATGTACGCCCCTATTTCTTGATCGTCTTCCATGACCTTCATCAATCATTAAGGTACGGTCACAAATCACTTTAAAATAAAGCATCAGATGAGATAAAAAGCGTACTTGGGTTTGGCGTCCGATGTAACGATGTACAACACCGCCAATCTGAAAGTAAGGCCGACAGGCAACCAAATCAGCAACACTAGATATGTTGGAAATTATTGATGTGTATCTCCTGCGTCGGCCTCTCAACATTGATAGCAAACTGTATTTAACGCTCTGCAAAAACTTCTCGGCAAGTTCTCCTGGTTCCGCAACCACAAATACGTCGTTTTGCCAACTATAACAATGAGAATGCAGCAAGTTAAGTGACGAGGTGGTTTTCTCTGGGCAGGACATTGGAACATCCAAGATTCAAAATGGCATGAGGTGTGGCGTGGCAGCGAGGTCAATGCGTGGCATAAGAAAGCAAATTTGTGTGTCATATATAGAATTATATATACATATATGTTTTCTACAAATTATTCAATAAGATAATGCTATTAAGAAGCTTACATTTATATTAGAACAAGGAAAATCATATGGACTGTTATTATATTAATAATTTTTGATTAAATATTTAAAACATAACTTTATAAGGGTAATTTTACAACTTCGTTTTAATCATGAGTTTGTGACGTGTATGAATTCGTTAAATTGTGAGTGATGTGATTAGATAAATCTATAAAAGTGTAAAATCTAAAGTTAAAAATGTAAAAACACAAGCTAAACAAAATTAAAACAACTAAAAAAACAATATTTTTTTGGAAAAAGTCATGCCTTGTAAAAAATGCACGTTGCAGCGTGCCATGGCGAGCCTTTTTGAACATTGGGAACACCAGACACAACCAATATTTTTCTGAATATCAGCCAAAAACTGGCTGAAACCATGGCAAATTATTTCTAAAAGGAATAACTTTTTGCAAATTATTCAGAATGACATGTTTTAATGTTCGACTTTGATGCTTAATACTAATATTAAATGATCTTCCTCCAAGTAAAAAGAGAAAATAAGGAAAAAAGAACCGACCTTAATATTGAGCCAGTTGTATCATTTTGGAGAGCCAAGTGAACAACTCCAACCTGTGGTGAATTCTGTAACTTATCGAGCAATACTCGAACAGGCATAGAAAGCTGTCTAGGAACTGTTGGTGATTCTGGCGGAGAAGAAGTTCTTCCAGAATGGAATCCATCCAGACTTAAATGTGGTACTGATTCAATCCTGCCAACCCTATGAACTCCAAGATCAGGACTATAGAGAAGCGGGCTTGACGGAAAGCTTCCGGTGAATAATGGTGATGTGAAGGGTGTGGGAAAAGATGTTCCCGGTTCTTGCTTAAGTGTTCCTGATGCAGCATTCAGAAGAGATAATCTTATACCGTGACCAGAACAAAACGTTTGAAGTGACCGAGCATGGTTAAAAACTCGTCCAGAATCTGGGTTGTGAGAAGCTTCGACGAGTAGCACGTTACGTCTCCAGCCTAAGGACGGACCATCTTCACCTGTTAATGCGAAATATGGGGATTAGAGATTAAAAGCATAATGTTTATCATGCGATGGTGCAAGAGTAATCGCATACATAAGTTCAACAATCATACCAGAATTTGGACCTTTTGCCTTGAAAAGCTGTTTAGAGTTGATATTTTCTGGCAACTTTTCATCAGTATGGTTCAGCAACAATCTCTCACACAACTTTTTAAACGTGGGAGAATTGTTCTGGATATATTCATTCGTTGCTGCCTCTAACTTAATCCAGATTGTGGGATCAGTTTCATCCAACTCCATATCACAGCGTTCATCAACTGTAAAACAAAGCGAACATAACATTATTAACAAGGGTGCACAAATCAACTAACTGCAAGCAGTTTCAAATGCTATTTAGATTTAAGAGAATTACTATGTCAAACATGCTTCAGTCTACATAAAGTACCTAAACGCAGAAAAGTGAGTAGCAGTCGAGACCATTGTGTTTGCCATTTCCTTTAAAACAACCAAGATTTACCAAAACTGAAAAAAGAAAAAAGCACTCGAGTTGATAGAAAAAGGTGAAAATGGATGGATCTTTAACAATCTTAGGGCCTGTTTGTTAGCAGCTTAATGAGCTTAATGGGACTCGCAGCTTATTCGGTCAGCTATACATGACTGTTTGGTAGTGGCTTAATAAGCTTATGGTGGTGGGAGCTTTATGCAGAAAGCCAAGTTTTTCTTCCAAACCAGCCCTTCCCAATTAAAAAACATGCTCATTCCATCTATCAAAAAACCCTCCCAATCTGTACAGACAGATTAAACACAGACAACTTTATCCATACAGCCATACAAGACTTAATGGAAAACCAACCAAACGACCCCTTGAACTATTTGATGGATTTTGCCTATGTGACACCTTATATGCATAAAATCATGGTATCTCCCAACCATCCAGTGAATACAAGATTGGCTTTAAATTGCCACATAACTATTGTTTTCCCCATTAGTTTCTTCAATCCTACACATGGTTATAATCCCTTCCCTTAACACATTGCGGGTTTGGTATGGGTATTTTGGAATTCATGGAGTTGGAAGAGGAAGATGGTTATGTGTCAATCTCGCATTCTTCCACATTTACAGTATTAAACTTGGACCATATAGCCATTTGGTCCATCACATGTCATTTAGCAAAATCCATCAATAAGTTCAACACTAGTTAAAAATCCATCCAAAATTGCAATTTTCTGGCAACTGTGATGCCTCTATTTTGTATTTGCCAGCAACAACGCTAATCACTCAAAACAGAATGTAGGTAACTTCAAGAATAAGATATTATACCTGGATTGAACCGAAAATAGTGTATTTCAGGAATCATTGGTAACAATGTGCTCAATGCCTCCTCAACCCGCTCAACTGAGCAGGCACTCTCGATCAACACCTGGCCAGTGTCCAAATAGCGCCATCCACCTTTACGAGCCTAGAAATCAAATGCAGAAACAGAGACAAAGAGCATAGTGAGCATTTGTGCACAAACATCAACAAAGAAGTCTGGAGCAGCGTACGATTTACTAGTAATCAAATACCAAACTTGACCCTAGAGACCGTCAAGCGCCCTGACAGATGATTCTATTTGGAAACTTCTGTCTATTGCGGTAATGGCATGCCTACTTTATTTGAACATTTTCCAGTTTAATTGAGTTCAGATACATACAGAAAGGTGAATTCATGTGTCACCAATCTCTTGAATACAAGTAATTGTAGATTGAGGAGGTTGTCAGTGAATGACACCCAAACTCAGAAAGCTAGCTAAGAACAATAATTACTGGTTCGTTGATCATAACAAGGCAAAGAATTGAGGAAAGCGCGTCTTCAAAAATATATCTCTACTCTTCCATTAAATTGCAATTACAATGTCCACACCAAGAAGTACTACTTTCCAAAATTTATCGCTTTTTTCTTAACTATTCTGTGTCCATAGAGAAGTCAAGACAAGTTGATAACTTGATATGAAAGGAAAAGATAAAAGGGCATCAAATACTATTTCGTATTAAAATCATTTGTGAAGAAGAGAGTAAAGGGTGCCAGAAAAACACATCATATCAAACATATATGGGAGAGATATATTCGTCTAATAAGAGAAAGGTAATCCTTAATACAAATAGATAAAAAAAAATGGAACCGCTGATAAGAAGAACAAAAAAGGAGAGGGAGACGGGGAGGAAAAGAGGGATAAATGATTATTATCAGCGAGGGGAAAAAGATGAGTCAACGTTCAGCTTGGGGATTGATGAATCCTACATATTAACTTTAGAAGAAAACCTATAGCTTCGTCTCTAAGAACTGCCTGGGAATCTCTAATTTTACCACTCTTGGGCTCAAGAACAGCAGACACAAGGCCCTCTGGTATAGAAATGCAATATCAAGTCTTCAAACTCACAAGATTTTCCAGAACCGCTGCCAGTTCCACAGTTAAGAGATCAACTATCGGTACAACGTCTATTGGTGGTTACTGTACTTGTGGTTTTTGTTGCTGCTAAGATGACTGCTCATGAGCCAATTGGCCGGGTCACTTTCAGATTTTCATTAATTGGTTTCACTAAGACACCCTGAGGGAAATCAAGTGCAATTACCTTTGTTGGAAGAGAACAACAACCAATTGAAACCAGAGTGTCAATTTTTGCATCTGGCCATAGAAGCTGTGCTTCTCGTATTGCAAATATAGTAGGATTATTTGCAACAATAGCACCATCTTGCCAGCGTAATACACCTGCAGAAGACAGATGAGAGATGAAGGCGAAAAGTCAGTTTTTTTTATTTATATTGACAAACTAATTGCAAGAAGACCCAGGTGCTTTTCAGAACACTGTATCATAGGTAATGACTGGCTTCATGGAAGTTCTGAAAATATTACAATTACAAGTTACCATGTCAAATTCTGCTCATTGGCCGTTCTCGTCTCTATATAGATTGCATTTCAATGCCATACATATTTGGCCATGCCAAAATAGCAATTATATTCTCTGCTACAAAAATTCCAAGTTTGGTCCCCTGTGAGAATTAGGTTGTTTCATTTTTGGTCCTCCACAAATCTTCTGTGAGTCCGAGTCATTATCAAGAGACTCAAAACTACATCATATCATGCAACGGAGTTGGTACTAGGTCAGTGACCATGAGTGTCTTGTCTCATCATTCTTAAGGAAAGAATGTAATTGCCATGAGTTCCCACAATGAAAAAATATAAGTTTGAACTTCACATACAACTACATCCGAACTTCCTATGATCTTCTCTATATTCTTCTCTCTTTTTTTAAACCTCTGATCCGTTGAGTCCTTGTGTTTCTTATACTATTCAACAAGTTCGACTATGAAATACCAACTTCCTGCCGTGTGCACCTCATGTATATTCTTAACACAAAGGACCAGCAGGATAATGGTTGGCCCCTTGGGGATCAAAAAGCTGTAGAAGCGAAACAAAATCAAACACGTAGGAGACCCCAGAAACATCAACTTGGACTTAGTGACTGAGTTTTCTTCTTTTTTTAACAAGGCACAAAAATTTTATTTTCCATACACTATGACAATGCGATTTTGCCCTAAACTATAAGAGCAGAAATATGCAAATTTACTGAAGATTTAGTGCATTTGATAGGCATATAGAATATAGAGAAAGCATAAGAAAAGTGATAACCTTGTCCCCTAATAAGCAAGCAAGAAGAGAAAAACACAAGGAACATGCAGCAGGACAGATGTATAGCACTGACCCTGCATAAGCATCATGTATTCCCACTTGCTTATAGTTGTTGAGGTTTATTCACTCTTAAAGATTGATGGATTGATCAAAATAATTGAAAGTACATGTAGCTGATCTAAAAAGCATATAAAAGTTGGTGCAGTATAGCTATTTGGTTTTCAGAATAAGAGCGAAATGCAGTTGTAAAGAAAGATAGGAAAGAAAGATAGGGGGCTCATACCATCAGAGTAATCATCAAGATAATATGGAGCTGCAGATGATGCTCTTATAGCTTGCCACAGATCATGTCTACAACTTCCCATATAAGCGCTACGTTTGTATCCAACTTGAGCACCAGTAGTTGCGATTCCTGGTCCATTGGTTGAAAAATTTTCTGACATAATCAAAGGAACTTCTGGTGTGCCAGCAGGGTACTACAGTTTGAATGGGAGTATCAACAGTTATCTTCCATTAAGAAGCAAATCACACGTGAACGTTAATTAATAAATAGGGGAAACACAGTATCAGTAGAAACCTGATAATTGCGAAATATAAATGGCTGTGCTGGTGCCACATTGACTAAAGTTGATACCACAAAAACTTTGGGAATCCTTTTCACTGATGAATCTATCAACAGATCTCCATCCTCATCAGCACACATCTCTTTCAACAACCTCTCGAACTGATCAGCACTGTGCTGCACAAAGTTGAAACTGGTAGTTTTAGAATATATAATACAATCATAGGGTTGGCTTCCAGTGAGAATGAAAGTTATAGTGAGGAGGGTAAGAAGACCTTGAATCAATCCTAATTGAAGAGAAATACTAGATCACGTGAAATGAGATAAACCGGATCAATTCCCTTCTAAAGCACAATTAATGGGTTGGTTTGAGATTAAAAGTGATCAAGGGTCCAAATCCCTTCTTACACTTCTCAGTTCTCACCTTAACTCCTATTCTCACACGATCCTTCGTCTATAATCATATACCTTCATACATACATCTAATGGCCCATTCATAACAGGAACTTAGTAGGTATGCATACAGACATCTAAATAGGTTCCAAATTCCTGATAAGCTGATATGTCAAGAAATTTGCTAGATAAATATTCAAGTATTTCTCCCTCACATGCACATGCACTCGCACACAAACATATCATTAGCGCTTAACCATCAAGAAAGGCCTTGGAAGAAACAAACTATGGTTTTTTTTCCTTTAAACATTATTAATTGTAAAAAGGTACAAAGAAATTGCCTTTCCGAAGTTCAAAATGAATATAAAAGGAGAATCACATACTTTAGATCCATGTACAACAACTCTAAAACTTTGTGATGAGCTCTTGTAAAGTTGATCTAACTTCTCTCTCCAAGTTGCTGCTTCATTATCCTTAGGAACAGGTTCGGCAAAAACAAGCTTGCCTGTAAAATTGTAGAAGGAAGATGACACAACTACCCAAAAGAACACTTTGAATTGCTTTCTCCTACAGATACCAGGCATTTGACTTACCAAGATTTTTGTATATGTCTTCACATTGTTCCAAGGACATTAACTTTATTCCAAGAGCAACGGCAAGCATGCCACCAGTTGATGTGCCACATATAAGGTCAAACATCTCATGTATCTGTTTCCCAGTACCATTTTCAATTTCTTTAAGAATCTGAACAGTAGCAAGACCTTTCATCCCACCTCCATCCATTGCAAGTATCCGCAATCCTTGCTTCGGGACCTGCCTTCCTTTGATAGCACGTCGCAGATTCTCATTCTCCCCTATAGTGACATAAAATGGCCCATATTTAACAAATTGTATGTAGTACGTTTTAAAATTTTAGAAGATATCAAAACCAAACCAACCAAGAATTGCCAGGACACGAGCTGCAGCTTTGCTCACGCGTTGCTCAGATGAAAGTGTAAGCCGCAAGAGAAGATCTCTTAGGCTTTCAGAAGCAACAAGAACGCGGCGATTCTCCAAACAGAAGGCTAAGTTTCCGACAGCTATTAAAGCTAACCTTTGTACCTAATGATAACCTAAATTCAGATAGCCGTGCAGAAATACCAAAAACCAGACACAAGGAAACTCGCAAGCTATCTTACTTGAAATTCAACAAGCTTACCTCTGGATCTTTATGAGCACATAATAACTTTAATGATTTCATCACATCCTTGCTAAGCATTTTCTGGGCCACTGTATCAGAGATGAAACCCAACTTGGCCACGACTTGCAAAACGGATTTTAGTTCTTGAGGGCCAATAGATGTAAGTACTCTTTTGATGGGTTGCATGATGTCACATTTCATCAACTGAAGTGCCACAGATACATCTGAGGCAAGAGAAGTAAGTGCAGAACAAGCCTCCACAACCTGAAATAAAATACACCTACTTGGAACAAGAATTCAACGACAAAGCAAAACAACAATAAATCGTAGAAAGCCTAATTTACCACATGCTGGTCTTCACTACTTATCATGCTTATGAGCTGTCGCACTGCATTTTCATCTTTACCAATAACTACACGGTTTCCTTCATCCTGCATCATCTTTGCCAATGCTGATGCTATCAAAGGATGGTGACATGAGGAGAAGCGAAATATTAGAGAGAAAAATGCACTCAGCTTGTGTCGTGATGCGACAAAGTAAGAACTATTTTCCATCTGCAATCTCACCACAAATAAGTTACTTTCAACTTGAATTTGTTTAAATTGAAGAAAATAATATGACGAATATTATCATCATTCAGTACCTCTATCTGAACATTCACTGATCTAAGATAGTCATCTGCCACAATGCGAATGTTTGCAAGAGAAAGGTGGCGGAGTTGATGCAAAGGCAAAATATCAGGAAGAAATTCCAGTGGATTACCAAATAGCCTAAGAATACGTAATTCGGCCATGGCCCTGCGCAAAAGATTGAGAGAAACAGTAAATCTCAACTGGTAAAACCTTCAGCATAAGATGTATTGCAGCAAAGGAAAACAAGTTACAACTTAGCTGGTGAAGGAATGACCTGAAATCAAGAAGAGGGCGAATTAGCTTATTATGTTCAAGTGATAATTCCACAAGTCCAACACACTGCCTCAGTTCAACTGTGTAGTGTTCAAACAAGAAATAAAGGACTAGTCAGAAGCTCTAGATCTGTCCTACACCTAAATAAATGCAAGTGTCTTCTCAGAAAACCAACGAAGAAGAATATCATTCGAGAGTTGGAAACACTGAACCAACAAAAGAAAACACAATTCCAAACGTACCTGGTACTGAAACCAACATATTGTAGTCAACTGTGAGCACTTTCAGGTTTTTTAAAACACCAAGCTCAGGTGGCAAAAGCGTTAGCTTATTGTTATCAAGGAATAGCTTCTCGAGGAGTGGCAGTTTAGTCAACTCTACTGGAAGCATCTGTTGATTGGTTCAATATTTGGAAAATGATCAAGAAATTGCACACAAGTTACTTCAAATCATGACACCATTAGATTTAAGCTCCACCATCTTTACACATTAATACATATGGTACATAAGTTTACTGTCTTTGATATACATACCGTTTCACTGCCAAAAATACCACTTCGCTAACAAAATCAAGTGCCTTTTAGGGGCTGTTTGGTTGGTTTTCCATTAAGTCATGTATGGATAAAGTTGTCTGTGTGGATTAATCTTCTGTATGGATCTGGAAGGTTTTTGTTTGGGGGCGGTGTATAGATGGAATGAGCATGCTTTTTAATTGGGAAGGGCAGGTTTAGAAAAAACTTGGCTTTCTGCATAAAGCCACCTTCTATATCATTAAGCCACTACCAAACAGTCATGTATAGCTGACCAAATAAGCAGCGAGTCCCATTAAGCCCATTAAGCTAACAAACAAGCCCTTAGTGTATAAAGCAGTTCTGATACATAAGGTATAAATCAGCATTTTGTTGCAAAGACCCTTTGACTAGCATGATTCTATTTGATTGGCAATACTTGGAAGTATTTTTTACATTTCTAGCAGACATAGTTACCTCTATGCTAATATATCTAGCAGACAGAAACTTTTAGTTATGTTTGCTTAGAATCTCTTAGGTCTCCGTTTATGAAGTCAAGTCCTGAAGCTGTAGAGTGTAGAAAGATCTGTTCTTTTCAAGAATTCGAAAGAAAAGAAAGAACTTACTGATAACCCACAGTTATAGAGGCTGACAACAGTGACATTCATCCAATGATCGGCGCAGGACTCAGCCCGCGGCCCCTCGGCATGACCTGGACCAGGCTCAGCAGCAAACTCCGATTTCAACAGCTTAGTAAGCACACCCATCCCATCATTCTGCTGACCCGACCCCCCGACCCGTGACATAGCCACCGCCCTGAGTGGCTCCCTCTGCTTCACAACCTTCATCTCCACACCCACCACATTTACATCCCCAACACGACCCGACTCACCAACCTCCTCACCGGTTCCAACACGACCCGAGTCATCACACTCCGACAACCGAATCACAACCGTGTCTTGAGGCAACGGCAACGCCACCATAACCTGAGACTGAAGCTTCAAAGTAACCTGATCTTCGTCATCGCCAGCATTCCAATCGAGATCGATCCGAAACCCTAGCTCCGGATTGCTGCAATTACTATTATTACTATTATTATTATCATCTCGCGATGCCACCGCCGCCGACGACGATCCTGATGACGATTCTGGTGACGGCGAAGATGAACGAGTCTGATCATCTAATGCCTCCTCCGTACCATAATATAGAGACAAATGAAAAACATCAGATGGCCTCTTCCATCCTAATCCCCACGACATTATGAACTAGGGTTCTTCCACTTCATAAGAAACAAAAACCATCAATCAAGTTCCCAATTGACAATATTTAGGGTTTAAGCAAGGTATTGTTACAATGTATGATTCAAATTATTGCAAAATTTGGGGGAAAATTCAGGAATCAGAGAATCAAATCAAATGAAACAGAAATTGCGGACACAAGGATGAATGCATACATGCAGTAATTGATATATATATATATGTATATATAATAGGGCATTCATGGATCTGGATTTTTCTTCATACTTGAGGTTTTTATGTTGCGATTGTTTGAATGAAGAAGACACATAATACGACGTCGTCGCATAACGTTGCCTACCGACTTCCTCTTCCTAATTTCCACAGGACAATATTTTTTGGAATAGAAAAGACTTTAAAATTTAAAATTAAATAAAGAGTAAACTACAAATTTGGTCCTTGTAGTTTGTTGTTTGTAACACTTTTGGTCCTTACATTTTTTAAATTACAAATTAGCCATTGTGGTATGCATAAACAACCGGATTTAGTCTCTGCTTTTAACGACCGTTAGAAAAACCTGTTAAGCCATGGGTAATATTACAATTTTCTTTAATAAACAAATAAATATGTAAATTACAGGGACCAAAAGTGTAACATGTATATAAACCTTATCCTGACCTTAAACCTCGTCGGTCAAACCTATAGTCATCTCTCAGAACTCAAATCCAAACTTTAAAATCAAAATCTAAAACTCAACCCCTGAATCAAAATTCAAACTAAAATTGAAAGTAAAATGAATCATTATCTATAACAAAACGAACCACCTCTCATCTTCGCCACCTTCCCATCGCAGTCTCCTGACCTAGACCACTACTTCTGACGGGCACCCCAGCAATGTCCTTCAGCTGTCACCCATATTTTAACAACTATCCACCGTAAAAAAACAGAACCACCATCATTATCCACGTGAAAGCAAATCAAACACAGATGTATTTACAGTAACCAAAATATAATAACACAACCAAACCTTGATTTTCCAAAGAATCAAAAGCCAGTAACAAGCATTGGCCAGGAACACCGACACCCCTAAATCAAGATACAAATTCAATACCTAAAATCCAAATCAAGTTGAGACTTTGATACAATGTACAAAAAGAAAGAAAATCAAGAACCTAAAACAACGTAGAAAATGTTGTGATTCAATGACGCAATCATGAAATTTAGCGAAGAAAACTCCAAACAAAAAATCTCCTAACTTGGTGAACTAAATCTCATGCCCCAGCAGTGAATTACGAGTTTCATCATGGTGCTTTTAGGTCTTCATTGGACCCGTCGAGTCGTCCAAGTTAGAAGAAGGGAGTCACTTCATAGGGGATACAAACTCGGGGTGCTTTTAGGTCATAGATGAAAGAAAGGGAAGAAGGGGGGAAAGAGAAAGGGAGGATGGAGTCAAAGGGGCAGAGGCAACGAGGAGATAGTGGTGGGATGGTGGAGATCAATGATGAGTAGGGCTTCGAGGATGCTGTAGATCAATGGGCGGAGAACTCTGATTTTGTGTCATTTTCGAAGTATGAAGAGGGATGACGGATATGGAAGGGTGGTGCAAATATGGTGATGGGATAATGTAGATCGACGAGGAGAGCCACGGAGATCAATGACCGGAAAGGTAGGCTGGAGATGGAGGGGGATATGCGGCGGTTGGTTGCATCTTCATCGTAATGCTGAGTTGATGTTTCTTTTTAAGAGTAAGGCTACAACATTAAAGTCAAGATTTTTTTTTATTAAATATTTATTTTGGTTTGAGGTTTAAATATATGTTACATTTTGGTTCCTATAAATTACATATTAGTTTATGTATTAAATAGAATTGTACAAAAAGTATAAAAAGACTAAAATAGCCTTGGCTTAACGGGTCTTCCAATGGTCGTTAGAGGTGACCACCGTCGTTTTTGCATACCATAATGGCCAATTTGTAATTTTTCAAAACTGTAGGAACCAAAAGTGTTACAAATAACAAACCACAGGGACCAAATTTGTGGTTTACTTTTAAATAAATAAGATAGTTTTTTTTTTTTAAAAAATCATTTTTAATATAACGATTGATTTTTATATAGTTAGTTGTAGTAAACGTTCAACTATTTACGTTTTGAATTTATTTTATCTGATAGAATGAATTCTCAGTGTACGTAATATCGGTTGCGTTTGCACTCAGGTGCGGTTGCTCAAATACACAACATGTAAGTTCAAATCATGCAGAATACGAACTTGAACTCCTCTGTTATCCTGAGTCACTAAGTCAGGTCCGAAATGACTTCTTACACGTGGTTGATAGAGGGTGGGTTCAAGTGTGGGCTCGGTCAAGGTCGATTTTGATGTATATTTTCCCATACAATCCAAAATTATAATACAAGTTTACAACTAGGCATTAACATTATCAGTAGTTATAAAATCTATCAGTTAGTCAGTTAGTTGCCAAAATTGGTACGAAGTGGAAATAACTAAACGTCTACTAAAAATTAACTGTAACACAAATAATAACTAACCAAAACTTTATTGCATTTTTGGATCGTGGAATTCGAAGGTATTATGGAATTGGAATGACAAATAACTTCGACCAAATTTCATGATGATATTTAGTTCGTGGATTGAATTGGATGGATTACGTCGAATTCCACAGTTAAGGGATTTGATCATTCATAGGCATAAGCGATGGATTTTAATTTCATTTCGAGGCAAACGTAATAAATGTTATAATTTGGTTTTAAAAAGACAAAAATAACAGTTACATCTAATTTAACCGCCCCACCCTCACCACCCCTTC